AAAAAAAAGAATTAAAGCGTTGGACTAAACAGCTAGGACTACAAACACACAATCACAAAGACACAACCACTACCACAAGCACAAACACAACCACAAACACAACTACAAACACGCAATCACAACCACTACCACTACCACAACCACAAACACACAACCACAAACACAGCCACAACCACAACACAGCACACAACCACAGCACACAACCCGAGGACCCACAAGCAACATCGAGAACTACAAGACTAACGACTATGGCAACATGCTCCTCACTATGGCATCAAGACAAATGATTGAAATGTCATGGTCGTTTTTTGTGCACCAGCCGAGGCAGGAAAAAGCCGCGCAGCGGGTTCACGACAGAACGACACCAACTGGGCAAGACATCGGACGTCCAAATTCGGACATGTCCGATGTGGATTCAGACCGTCTATAGTCCTTTCTTGGTGGCCAGTTTTTTGATGTTTTTTGTCACCAGTCATGTGATAGTAACTGGTAAACCTGAAGTCATGACAAGTCATGACGACATCCCTCGCTTGCTTCAATTAATGTGGGTTCATGAAAGCAATCGCCTGAAGCCTTTGGATTTTCAGCTTGCATCCTTCTTGCTAATGTTTGAGATCCACATGACTCAGCAAAATGCTGGGCTCTTCACCTCGCAAATCACTGCTTGTACCAATACGTGGGAGTGGACGCAGTAAACAGCACGTCATTCCACCCTTTCATGACTTTCAGTCAACGCCAACCATTTCAGCTGCCCTGCCCTCCGCATCCTCCGCCACCCGACTCGATCTCACCCGGCGCGACTTCCGCGTCGTTTCCGCGTCGCTGTCCGCGTCGCTTTCCTCCTTTCCGAGGCGCCATCATAGCGCCCCACGGTCACGAGGCCCTGCAACACCTGGTGTCCCAGCCTCGGTGTTGGGGCGGAGACTACGGAGGGTCTGAGCTCCTCGCTCCCACTCACGGTCGGAGACCACGGAGAACGAGGACTAAGTGACTTCCGGAAGGTGGGAGAACCATGGGAGTTGAGAGCCCAGGGTTTCAAGGCAGTTTTGGACATTTTGGCATGGTATTTTACAGTGACAGTGTGTTGAATGGGTTTTTGAGCCAGTATGTGCTCTCCCAGGCACACCCGCTTTTCAAGAATTTGGGAGATTGGACCCGTCCGTGTGACCCCACGAAAAGTAAAAACATCGTGCAAGCACCGTCAAGTCCTCAAAAAGCGAGAATCCCATGATTCGTGAATTTGTGAAGAGGGGTGTCCAGGTTTCGGGAAAGGTGTCTGGAACCTCAATGGTCAATATCCATTGCTCCATTTCTCTGGTCAACTTCTGTGCAAAACTAACCACCGCTGGAACTCCTCCGCCCTGACCACACATGCACTTCCCAAAAGGTTCCGGCGCGAACTGGAATGCAGGGATCATCGCAAACCTCGCAAAAGCAGGATTACCCATGGTCCATGGTTATGTCTTCTGGTTGGTTGGTTGGTTGGTTGGTTGGTTAGACTATTGAACCAGCAAACCAACAACCAACCCATGAGTGTTTTCGAACAAACAACCATCAATCAGCAAACAGATGTGCCAACAGCATGGAACACATGAAATCACCGGTTATATCGGTCTTGACAAGTCAAAGGTGTTTTTCTCCTCAATGTTTGTCTGAGCCCCGTGCCATGCCAGATTCGCATGCAAACGAATTCAGAATGCAGTTGGTTAACTTGAAAGTGCTTCACGCCTTTTGACATCTTCTTGGTCAACTCGTTTAAAAAGCTATCTTTTGACATGTCATGAAGTTTGCTTCTGCTGTACAATCTGCTCTATTGCAATAAACGAGAAACGTTCTTTGAAGAATAGGTCAGGTATGCTCAAGTGCTTGCCAGGCAGACTGGTCTACCTATGGATCTTCACGAGTGCTTTGGGTGGCGGGGATTTTTTTTAGAATCTTGCTGCACAAACGATAGAAACCTTGACCCTGTGATGTTCATCAACCTGGACTCAGTGACCGCCCGAACTGTGCTTGAATCGCTGCAGAACAACGACATCAACACCTGATCACAGCTGACACCACGAAGCACACGGCCGGGAGTGCGACGTGAACAAGTACGCGTCCATCACGCCACAGCACTACATCTACAACAAATGGCGCTGGTGTTAAACACATCCAACGAAGCAATTCAATTCTACTACCTTCGGATGACTTGGAGAGGAATAAGCTGCAATTGGTGAAGGACTTCTTTGCCTTTTACAAGTTTTGTGAGAACTGTTTTTACCTTTGGTTCTGCACCCTTTGTGCAGCTCCAGCATTGATCAAGAACTATTGACCAACTTGTCAAATGGCCTGGATTTGCACATTCCAAGATGAGATGGACTAGCTCAGCAGGTTCAGTTACAAGTGATTCATAATGATCAGCACATGAAAGGGTGTAATGAATGCAACCCGGCGAAACTGCGTTGATTCATTGAGACACAACTTGGGTGCTGTGCCGGCCTTCGTTTGTCAGTATATCTGTTGGTATGTCTTTTTTGAATATCTGACTATCCACCCACAAAACCAAGGATCTACACGAGCATCATAATGCTTCACGTAAACAAGTTTGGACTTGAGAGCTCATTTTTGGGGCTTAATACGCGCCCTACGCGCCCTCCACTGGTATCAAGTCCCTATGCAAAGTGGCAATGGCGATGGACTTCTGAACTGGCGATGACCGCAGTATGACGGGATATCTTCAGTCAGCGAATGTGTTGAGTTCACAACAGGTCATCTGTTGAGAGATGTTCCAAGAAGAACCAGCTGTATCATCAGGACCCGAAACATCCTGAAACTGCCCCGGGGCCCGGCTCCTTGGAAGTGATATAGCTAGAGCCGCTGGGCGCCAAGGTGGTCGGAAGTGCAGAGGAAATGACCTCAGCTTCAACTTGATCTACTGATAGCTTTGGCATCTAGAGTCTTGACTCGATTCTCTCCAATTCCTGAAGCATCTGCAAGTCTCCAAATGATCGAACTTTGGCAATTAAACTACAACACCGGACCACCGGCTTGCTTTTGTTGTCTTTCTCTGTTCCTTATGTGCGGGGAGTACCTCTGAGCACTGTGGCCTGACTGCGGAGTTTGCAAGGCGTGGGCACCTGCAAGAGCTCATCATGGCTCATGACTTAGCAAATGATACAACGCATTGTCATTGAAAGCAGTTCCAAACCAAAGGCCTGAGGGAGCAGCCGTTTCTGTCACAGTTCACTTGTTGTTCCACGGTGAGGCTAGTCTACAGAAAAAAAGGTGGAACAAGGCCGGAGTTTGATGATGACTCGTGTATATTGTATCACTGAAGTTGTTCTCAAAACTTCTGTATCAATAGTTCCTCTACAGGAATGGTTTCAACAACCGTTGAGCAAGTCCAAGAAACAGCCTGGGCCCGCTGCTCACCAAGCGTGACCTGGGACGGCAGCCATTCGGCCGAAGGACAGTGCTTGAGTCCGAAGGACGGCTGCCATGGAACCTGGTTGCCTGGAGCTCTTTTCACCAACGCGACACAAAAGGAGCTGGGGCCCTGACAAAACTTACAGCTCCACGGCCGCTGGCACCTGCCATTGGCAAAATGCCTGCAACGGCCACGGCAAAGGTGGAAGATCCCAGCGCGGTGGTGGCCGCACAGCGCCTGCAAAGGAGTCCAGCTTGGGCACACACTCACTCTGTACAGATTCTGGTCTGGACACCTGAGGAATTCTCATCTGAAGCCAAACCATAGATTTGAAAGGAACAACATGGAGGAATCAGCTGCAATTGGTGAATGACTGTTTACCTTGGGTTCTGCACGGTTTGTGCAGCTCCAGCATTGATCAAGAACTATTGACCAACTTGTCAGATGGCCGAGATTTGCGCATTCCAAGATGAGATGGACTAGCTCAGCAGGTTCGGTTACAAGTGATTCATATTGAACAGCACATGAAAGGGCGTAATGCAGGACTTCGTTTGTCAGTATATCATATCTGTTTGTATGTCCTTTTTGAATGC